AGTTCCTAAGTTGCTTTGGGAGGAGAGGAAAGAGGGGTTCATCAGAGCAACAAGGCAACACATGGCAACATGCATAACCTTTGGTAGAGCAGATGGCCAACTGATAAAATATTGCTGTAGTATGACATGCTTCTGCATATATATCCATTGTTAGTAAATAATGTAAAAACTTTTTAAAAACTATTAAAAAAAAATTTTTGTTACAATGGTGGGATGCTTTTAGCCATGGAGTTTTGAAAGCATTTTCGCTGTGTTAAGTGTTGACAAAATGAATGCTGTACGTTTCTCCGTTTCTATCTTCAGAAGCCTAAGTGTAGCTACATTTCTGACTCTTGATCTATATTTTACAAACTGTTTTCTATGTCACTGTACATACATCCAAGACCCTGCACCTTATGCAGAGAATGTTTACATTTAAAAAAAAAAAAAAAAAAGATTTTTGTTGGCTTTTTCACTGCGCTGCTCAGATCCTGTTCTGTTGAAATGAAAGTAGCCTCTGTTAGAAAAAGGGGCTTTTTTTCCTTTGCCCTTCACCACTTCCCCCGTAATTCTGACTCCCTCCTGGATGATGGCTGGCAGCTCTTGGACAGCTTGCGCTCTCCTGGAGTAGGATGTAGTGGTGTTTGAGAAAGGCGTTTTTGAAAACTTGCTTTGGGTGGGAGGATGAACTTTGTATGCTCTGTAACTTTCTTGGAAAAAGAAAAAAAATCTGCTTCAAATCCACTAGATGTTGTTGGTCTGCCTTGCAAGTTAACTAATGTAGGAAGCCTTGGAGTTAAACTTTCCAGCAACCGTGCTTCTGTCTTCTCCCAAAGAAGATGAATGTCCTGCTATTATATCTGCAGCTACAAACACTTCTGTTGGTTAATGACTGTATATACAAGTCTGCCTGCTTTAAAACTTTCCTTTTCATAAAGTGTTTTTGATAGCTCTGCTCTGCAAATGGCTCTCCTCTTCCATATTTCATCTGCTTAGATACTCTGTAGCCGCGTGTGTGTTGCTCTTGTTCATAGGAAATGGAGCTATAGCTCTCCTTCCAAGGGAGATACATGCCACTGAGCCTACAAAAGTCAAATGGTTGGAAGATGAGATGTTTTAACCAGCGGGCTTCTTACCGTGGACTTTGAGACTTTTAATAAATGTGTCCACTGGACTCTCCATGAAAAAGTATGTTCCTGCCCTCCAACCAGGACCACCTGTTGGGTATTTATCCAGTAGAACTCGGTATTTGTATACTTTACAGATGAAGACCATTCAATCAGAGCCATGGGGCAAATAGAGAACTTAAAATCCTGACTCCTGCCTTAAAACTTTTAGTTCATCTTGAGCTCCAAAAATTCTGCACCTGCTTGTTCCCAAGTCCCTTTTTTCTTTAGGAAATTTGAATCCAGTCAAAGGCTGGAGACAATTTAAGGAAATTTAAAACAAAATAAATTTTAGCTGATGGCTTTATTAAAATAACTAACTGGTCTTGTATTAAAAACCCTATTTGTGCCTCTCAAGTCCAGGGAATGTTTAAAAAGTGGAGGTGGCTTTTGAGCAATGATTGAAATGACTGCATTAGCTGGCAATTTGTAAGACACTTGCTTTCATATGCTCTGAGCAAGAGACTTCAGTTTGTGTCCTCTCTGCCTCATGGTAATGGCTTTCAAAGATGGCTGGTACCATCAAATTTGTACTTCTTGAATAAATATCTTCATTTTTATGGTAAAACTTTTTGTATGCAGTTTGTTTGTGTGTGCCATGTAACGAACATTCATATTACGTAGGATACGGTGCTAGATTTGGTACTGACACAGAAAATACATAGCTCCAACATGCAGTGAAACAAGGATGAGGGGATTCCAGTGATGTGACCGTTTTTCCCCCCCTGTAACTTTTATAAAGTCTTTTAGAATCAAATATACCAGTTGTGTAAAACATGCTTTTTAACTTTTTTCCCCTCCCTGGCTCCTTCAGTCAATGAAGGATTCTAGGTCAATATAAAGATGCTGTGAACATCGGGTAACTTTTAAAATGCATTATGTATTTTTCTGTTGTACCTCCTGTTTCTTGGTTGACATATCGCAGTAGTGTGTGCACGTATTTTTAACCAACTGCAAAGCACAAGCAGGTTGTCTTTAGACTGTTAAATTATGTGATTTTTTTGTTTGTTTTTTTAACCTACGGAAGATCTTTTACCATTGAGAGCAAACCATCATGAACTTCTATTGGAATTGCTGTACAAAATTTCCTGTATTTAAAACAAAAAAGAGATTTTACTTTTTTTTTTCCCCTGCATTTAAAAAATAAAAGTAATCCTGGAAATGCCATGCCTTAAGAAATAAATTCAGTGTTGTTTTTCTTTTTTAAATTTCTTCAGTAGGGCTTTTAATTCTGAGCTGGAGCTCTACAACTTTTTCATTACCTGTCTGATACCCTAGAGGCATGTTTTGGTAGTAATTTCGGTGTGTGACAACATTTTATCTTGCAAATAAGGTGTGCAGTCCGTGGAGAATGCAGGGCCTGGAGATGCACTTAGACATCCAGCGTGAGCCTCCTCTGTGCCAGGCTCCTGCTGTCTGCAGATGTGCTTCTGGCTCCTTGGTGAACAATGCAAAATAATGGATCTCTGTAATTGTCCTATAATTACATTAGCTGACATGTTGTCTTAATTCAGGTCACCACTTTTATAGTCTTGATTAACTACCTAAGGTATCAGAGGAGTAGGAATAATTTTTTGTGGGCCACTTTGGTCTAATGTTACCACAGCTAAACATCTCAATTATTTTTTTTTTTAATCTTAGAATAATTTCATGGTAGAATTTGTGATGCGAGTTGCAAGCAAGCAAGCATGTGGTTTTCCTGGAACTTTTCCCTTTTATACATATATATTTTTATTTTTTTTTATTCCTTTTATATGTGTGTGTGTATATAATCTCTTTCATATATACATATTCCCTTTTTTAATATATATATATGTAAAATAACAGGTGCGAAGGCTTGTTTGTAGCCATGTGTTCTGACCCATGGGACAACCCTCCTTCCACCTCCCCCAGCACAGACAGAGAAGTTCTCGGAGCTGATCTCCTCCAACACCAGGATTATAAAACTACGTGTGCTCTTCCTTTACCCATCCCCTAGCCGAGCAAAGCGTGGTCGCTTGTCAAGTAGTAAGAGGGACGTCCGTCTTGTGGTGTTGCGCGTGTGCAGACATACCCGCACCACGCCAAGCTGTCCTTAGTGTGCAGCTGTAGCACATTTTGGTGTGTGAAGTGGGCTGGGGCATTCCGGGCTGACTGCTGACTCAAGCAAAACCCCAAAAGGATGTGGACTCTAGGTCAAAAGTGCACAAGAGTTGAAATTTTCACTGTCGCTGCTGCAAGCGGTGAAATCGAGTGTCGCTTCGCACCCTGTAGCATATGAGCTTAGGGGAGAAGACAATGTATGAGTTATAGAGCTATGTTATATAGATCACAGTGTTTCTACTCCTAATTAACATATAATTAATGTTTGTATTGTGCCTATACTCGTATTTCATTGACCTGTATCTCGCTCTCTGACATCGCATAACATGCTACAACTAGCACGGGGTTTCTGCTCCGTGGTGGATGTTGCACCCTCGCTCCTGGCCCCATGCCAAACTCGATTGCTTTCTGCTGGCTAAAGCTGCATCCCAGTTTGACCAGTGCTCGGTCTGTGCTTCTGCGGGGCGGTGCTGCGTTAATACCTGGTGCTGGGCTCCAGAGACAGCGCTAAGGGAAATGGGTCTTTAACTGTGGACCTGATTTTGCTGCTTCTTATGCAGGGGGAGCTGCCCTGGTCAGGGCAGAACTCCAGAGTCACTCGGGATGCTGTAGGAAGCATCTGGCTGAAAGCTTGGGGTGGCTTGTCCCTCCACATCTGGGCTAAAAATATCAAGGTAACTTACGGAAAAGGCACTGAGCTCTCATCTCTGCTCTGCAGAGTGGTTCGTTGTGTTCTCTCTTCCTCTGAATAATCCCGGAAAGTTGGGAGGGATTTCAGCTGCATAGTTTATTTTCTCTGGACTCAGCAGTTGCAAAGGTCTGAGAGGTGGGATGCTGCCTTACAGGCATGCCGAAACCTTGTTTCATGGGAGTTCAGTGGCGGCGCTTGGAGACTGGAATTTTCTGTTCTAATTGGTCCCTTATGCTGCAGCCATGCTGCTTCATTAGGGAAGCTCTCTAATGGCAGTGAGTTTGGAGGAGGCTCAATGGTGTGATGCCCTGTGTGTAAGGTGAGAGGCGGAAATAAATTCACCCGGTTGCCGTGCCCAGAGGGTAAACAGTCAATATTAGCAAGAGAAACTAAACTGCCTCTTTCGCTTTCTCTCCACATGGGCTTAATTAGGTGGTTTCGTTAACAAAGCAAACAGCGTTTCCTGTCGTTGGGCTGTTCCTCACGAGGGCGGCAGCAGGGATGCCGGGAGCTGCCCCAGCCTGGAGCGCGCAGGCGGGGAATGCGGAGCAGAAAGCGTGGGAGCAGAAAGCTGCCAGCGTGAGCGGCTCCGGCCTCGGAGACCAGTCTGCCCCATTTCAAACCAGCCTTGCTTTGCATGCATCTTGACATGGCAAAACAGCAGCGCTGGGGAGGAAGGCTCTCGCTAAACCAGTGTCTAACGTAGGGGACGAGCAGAGGTCGTCTCTCAAATACCGAGAAGTCACGCCTATTGCAGTACATGGGGGAAGATAACGCTAACATCAGGCTTAGTCCAGGGGAGAATTGTGAGGCACGAGGCTGAAGTCCAAGTTGCATCAGTCCTTCCTCCTCCTCAGACACCAGTTGCTGGTGCTCACCAGTGGCGATGTGCAATGGCGAAAACAGAACAGGCAATTGCTTTACTGCAGCACTTTGATTTATTGACTTTCTACAAGTTTAGTACCTCTATCTGGCGGTTGTAAGCTGAGCCCAGGGGGACAGAGAACTGAGGCTGTGTTGTTCCCAGCTGGGTAGCCGGTTCTTGTTAGTCTTGTTAGGAGCTCGCTGGTTCTGCTGGGAAGCTATTCATGATCCCCTTCCTCTTTTTGTTGTTTGTCAATGCAGAAGACTGCAAATATCTTGAATTCCCTGTAGTTCAGTTGCTAGTTCTGGAGAGGAGATAGATCCCTAGCTTAGCAAGGCAGCCTTGCCCAATGTAAACATTTATTTCAGGGAAAGACCCTGAGTCCAGGCTCTCATCCCCTTCTCCAACTTGCTCTACTTTCCCAACTGACTCAGGACAAATTGGTTTCAACTGATTGCCTCCAGCTCATCCTGAACATGTTACAGGCACACAGGGCACCTCCCTGGCACATGGCTGTTTCTCTACTGTTTGTAATGACTTGCAGATGTTGGAGTGATTCATAACAGCTGGGCTTATGGTGTGGATGGGGGGAGCGGGGTGCCTTCACGGCTCTGTCACAGCCATGGTGCTCCTGCTTAAAGTGGCCTCTTAATCAGGCAGCCTCAAGATGAAAGGACAGGATCAATGCAACTTGGGGCTGGAACAGCTTATTGCAGGAAACTACTCCGAGGGCATCAGAGAACTATCCGCAGGCCCCGAGCAGGACGGAGGCTTTGATACCTCGCTGCGCTACTAAACCACACAGGAACCAGACTGCAAGCCCTGCAGGGCTTACAGGAGAGATGCAACAACTGCCCATAACAAATAATTGAAGAGGATACTGATGGTGGAACATAGAGGAGGAGAATCACTGATGAAAACAATAACCCAGAAACCTGGCAGCAGAAAGGAGGAGAAAGAGAAGGCATCTGCCTCGGTTACTAATGGCTGTCTTGCTAAATGTGCTCCCCGAGCATGCCGAGATGCTGAAGTCATGAGGACGGTGTGAAGCTGTGACAGAGATAAGAGACATCTACAGTCTATTAATGACTGATTCCCTACCAGTGTAGTGGCAGGTGGTCATTAATCAGGGAGTACTTCAGAGCAGAGAGGGATTTGAAAGAGCACCGGTGTCCAGATGGGGGACGAAGGTGAGCTGGTGGTAAAATCAAATTGGCAAGGGATGTCTGCATGCACCTCCATAAGGAGGACTGTGTCAATGCAGAGCTGGAGGGGAGGTGCTGTTACCAGCTTTGTTCCGTGGGGCAGGGATGGGCGAGATCCCTACAGCCTCTCCTTGGAACCTGGAGCTTGTTTAAGGTCAAAATGAGGGATCCATCAGAGAAGAGAAGGAGCTTCCCCTGGGGCTCTTCTCTGGCATCGGCATGTCCATGGCATGGGTATAAGCCGAGGTACGGCACTCTTAATGTTTCTAGAAGGAGTTTCAAGTCTGAGTGTACCCCACCGAGGTACCCCCTGGCTAGCAGCTCTGAGAATGGACTGCAGAGAGCTTGGAAAGTAATGAGAAGTCACAAGTGAACTTGGAAGAAAATGGCTTAAAAAAAGACACTTCTGCCAGTCCTGCCCACCTCCTCCCATCAGTCTCCTCAGACAGAGGAATATGCCCGGTTTACCCCCCAAAAATTATTTCTTCCTGTTGCTGTCTTACTGTTAAAACGTTTTCGTTTCAGACTGTGTGGTAAGTCATCAAAGGCCCACTCCTGAAGTCAACAGGAAGAAAACTCAGGCTTGAGTGAGAATTGGCTGCGGGCTGCAGTGCAAAATTAATCCCAAGGATTAATTTTGAGTTTAGGGGCATTTTCATGGCCTCTCTTTTGCCTGTAATTTCTCCAATTTTACCTCATCTCCAGAAATACCAATGTCCTTGAATATCTTCTTAACTTCTTTCTGGATGTTGAAGAGAAACCTTTTGGCTTCAAACTCATTAAAATCAATCATATTATCCCTGTCTACATCCAGCAGTTGAAAAGCACGTCCCGCGTGCCGGGGGATGAACTGCTTTTCAAGATCATTCTGTTACAGGGCAGAAAAGTTTAGAAACAGATGATAAGCACTGATTTCCTGCTTGGATAGAATATGTGGAATACCAACTGGTGCTCGTGTCCAGAGAATAAAGGTGACCTCCCGCTAGTCGCGCCCGCAGGAAATACCAAAATCCTGGTGCTTCCTGCCGCGGAGCCATGCGGGAGCACGTGGCCGCTGCCGGCTGCGTTCAGGCTGTGCCGGGGAGAGCTACCGCCAGCCAGCCAAGCTCCAAGGCTGCTTTGTGAGGTCCTTTCCCATCCCTCCCGTGTGCCGAACGACTTGTAGGGCTGTGTCCTGCGGTCGACTCGTCTCCTTCCTCCCCGAGTCCTGCAGGCAGCAGTCCCGAGCACTGGCCTTCAGCCACGTGTCTGGTCCAGAGCGGAGCTGCAGGACATATCCAACAGCAAGGTTGAGCTCTGGGGGTAACCCTGGCTTTACCGCCTCTCTCCCTCGCCGCAGCCTGCTGTCCTCGCTGCTTTTCCCTGAAAGGGCACCGGTCCCTCCCCAGCCTGGGTTGTAGGTGATGCCGGGGAGGCTGAAGAAGGGCATCAGCGCGTCCTGCACCTACAAGCTCGCAAGAACAGACGGGTGAAAACGGATGCTCTGCTCTCTTCCCCATAGGTAGACACAGCTGAGGGCTTGTTTTTTGGAGAACTAAGATGGACAGCCTGAGCTGGGAGGAGTGTTTAGATGGTTCCTACCTTGCAAAAGGTTCAGGGGTAGATTTATCCCAGAGGAGCAAGGTTGGTATTAACAGGGGGACTGCTCACTTCCCTGCTTTCCTTTTCTATGTAGCAGCGTAGACCCAGGTACCCTCTCCATCCCTTGTATGCCATGAGTAAAGATCAGCTCCAGTGAGCTGATTCCCTTTACGGGAGTGTTGGATGGTGCAGATGTGCCTGCACTGACTCCAGAACCCACAGGATACACACCTCATGGGACAGGAGGGTGTACACCACTGTGTAGAACTCATTAAAGCAAATCCTTCCCCTCACATTTCGGTCCAGCAAGTCAAACAGCAGCATGATCTTGTCCTTATTCAGGTCGGTCACATAACAGAGAAAGCAATAAAACTGCAGATCTGGAAAACAGTGAGCTCTCGGGCATCGTCTGCACAAAGCTGGGAGCAATAATTAGCAGGATTTATTTTATTTTAAATGCCCACTGCTCCCAGACAGGTTGCACAGGCAATTAAAACATAGTAGCAGACGAGATACTGTTCAGAATTAATGGACAGTATTAATAAGATGGCCTGATTTATGAAAGAGGCATATGTAATTTCTGCGCTGAAGGCAATGTTAAAGTGCTCATAATTTTCTGTCTGTCTTCTGCTCCACCCCACCCCTGCAGGAAAAAAGGACTTTTCCAACAAACCAGAAACATCGGAAAAAGAACTCATTTTTCTTTTGGAGGTGTGACTTCTAACTCATGGTTCACTAGCAGTTATTTTTAGTCCTATTTAATCTTCTCTAGTGCAGAGGAAGAGCCAAACCTCCAGATCCAGCATTTCCCTCAAACCTCCCCAAGTGTGAACACAGAGGACAAACAGCCCCCACTAAAAAAAATCTGCAGCCTCGTCTGATTCTGCTACCCTTAAATCCCTGCCAGTGGGGTAAATCCATGGGAAGAGGTGCCATTCGAGCTGGAGCAGCGTGAGGGTTTGCAAAAACATGGCAATAGACTCAAGAACTGCAGGCGGGAGGTGGGGAAGCTGTGAACCAGTGGACAGGGGGTTGCAAACAGTCTCATGTGGAGGACACTATTGGCAAGAAACCCGCCTGCTTTCTAACACGGAGCACGATCAGTTTATGGAAAGGATTACATGATGAGGTTGCTGTAGTACTAAGGAATTAGCTTCAGTGAGCCAGAAATCCCCTCTTGCCCTGTGTTCCTGGCATCTCACTTGCACAGCTGTAAAGATCTCCTTTATGGCTGGCCTGGGTTTTTCCTGTGTCGATTATCAGCTCGTTGTGCCAGGACCTGGTTATCATGTTTGTACAGTACTAGCAGGCCTGGGGCTTCACATGCTGCTGGGATGCAGAGGACAATAATACCATAAAATCAAATAGGTTTCATAGCCTCTTGGACCTTTTTCTGTCTCATAAACAGGGAAGGATGCAATGGAAGGGGGAAAGGGAAAGGAGTATCTTCAATGAGAGCTGAAAATGCATCTCAGTGGCTCTGCCGTGGTCCCCTGAGCCATACATATTTCAGAAGCCAACACAGGAGTAGCCAGGCCATGTAAGCTCCCAGAGCAGCTGGGGCATGATAGCGCAGGGAGGACATGGCGATACATGCTGTATCTGAAAGCTTTCTGGGGTATTGCCAACCACTTGTATTAACCAAGCTGCTAGTTTAGTATTACAAAGTGCTGCATTTGTTGTAACATCTGAAGTGCAATATTTGTAATGTCTCTGATCTCTGGTTTTAAATCCTAAGCGATTTAGCATTCTGTGTGTCTCTTTTCAAAGCATTACACAGGGCCTGTAATTTTAGAGCATTAATGCCAATCTCGTTTTCAGAAGTTCTTTCCATTCAGATAATTCTTTCGATGAACATCCAAGAGCTGGAAATGCTCCATCAGTGCCGCAGCATTTCTTACTGACATACAAGCAGTATACTTCAGTAGTAAATGCAGATGCTGCAGAAAACACCCAGATTTCAGCTTCATCTTGGCTGGCCATGGAAGATCAGTGAAACAGAATTAGTGTCATGGCAATGACCGCTCACAGAAGGAAAATTCTGCCCTAGAACCAGATGCAACCTCTGTCCTACAACTTCAATGCTTTTTCCCCATTTTCAAGAATTCCCCTCAGATGTGGAGGCAAAGGGTCCTCTTCCATTCAGCACTGAAGGATAATATGTACTAAAATCAAGTGACAGAAACTATCCTTACAATGCTTGAGAGCATTAAATTTGATTAAAATGTGCCAGATGATAGCACAGACTTAAGGATTTATTTTAGACTGTAATGAAAATCTCAACCCCAGACAAGCGGTACTCCAAAGCCTGTTGGTCCATGCTGAGGAGGTCCTATGTAGCAGCCACTGCAGGGCTTCGCTCTTCCTCTTAGCCAGGGCTTTGATGTTTGTGGTTTCCAGTACCTGACAGTGTCCTGTGCAACGTGTCTGGGAGCTATAGCTCAGAGGTGGCTGCTTTTGAATGCCCAGTTTCTTGTTCATGTTAGCTGTTAGGAAGCTGAACTGCTCTTGTATTTATTTAAAGTGTTTATCACCCGTTTCTTTTCCAACCCAGAACGAGTCCAATCCAGTACAGCAATAACCATTGAAAGTGTTCTTTATTCCTTACCCCTAACCTACACCAGGAATAATACCAATAAAATCTAAGTCCACTGGCTTACTTTGGTTGACAGACCCTCTGTAACCCCACATTTTAAACACAGAGCTGTATGTAGTCTTGCAGTCAGGTCAGCAGTTTCTTCTCCTTGGGTTGTAATGCTGAGCGAGAGCTCAGCTCTGCTAACGCGTACTGCTGAGGACTGTGCTGACTCAGCGGTCATGCTTAATGCAATTGTGATGCTCATGATCATCTGTCCATAGGATCAGAGATGGACCCCAGAGCTTGGGGCAGATTTGCAAAGTTGTTTGCATTTCTGGAGTTTATATTCTCTTTCTCTTATTTATCACTTGAGAAACAGTAAGAAGTAATTCATAGATAGATAATTAACCTGTTTGCTGACTTGGTTTGACACCTGTGAGATCCAAAACCCGTGAAGTTAGGTGAAAACAAGTACTCAATTATTTTCAGCTTCTTTCTGTTTCAGGGATATACTTGGGTTGCATTTTCAGCTTGTTTTTCCTACAACTAAGTGGGGAGAAAGGAAGAAGTAGGGGAACGTGAAACTTTCTTCAAAAAAGGCAGCTGAAATTCTCGTACTGCCACAGATTTCCAGGAACTGGAGTTTTAAATAGTATTTCAAGCATCAATATCGGGAAATTTCCAATAGAGATGTGAGGGTTGATCATACCAGGATAAACCCATTTTTTTCCTAACAGCAAAGACAACGAGAGGTGACAATCAGCCCCCACGCTCTAGCGTATAATATATGAGGGACCTTAATCAGAAATCACTGCGCCCAGGTGTTCTCGACCCGAGATGCTGAGTTTCGCCTGCATGACACATCAGGATGGAGTGTGCAAACGCACCCCCCGGCCCCCTGCCCTCGGCTCGTTAATGGGACACGTATGGGGGGCAAAACAGCCCCGCTGGTGCGAGCGGTGTTGGCATCCCTGAGGTTTGCGTGGACAACCATTCACCACTGAGTCTTCCGTTAAAACCCGAGGTATTAGGATGCGTGGCTGCACCGTCGGGTATTTCCCCTAGATGTCCCCATTTAATACTTGATTTCAAGTCGGTTTTTTTCCGAGGGTTTGAAGTTTCGCCAGGGAGAGGATGCAAACCCTTCGCTCTCGACACCCGTCGGGCCACATCTCTAAAACCAATTCCTGGCGGGTGCCCGTGGTGCCGACGCACTCGAATTCCTGCTACCAGGAATTTCCAAAATATTTGCGTTCGGCTGTTTTCACACGAGATGAACGGGGCGGGGGGGGGGGGGGGGGAGAAGGAAACGTCCCTCCGTTAGCCGAGGCGGTTTAGGATTCTGTTTTTCACACGCGGAGAAGCGTCTCTCCGCTGGCACCCCAGCAGCGTGGCCC